TCTCCCTCCCTCTGTGTAACTCTTTGAAATATATAAATAAATCTTTAAAAAAAAAACTTTGAAAAAGATAACAGTTAAAGGAAGTATGATATGACTAAGCTTTTAAAAATCGTTGCTATTAATAAGTACAGAAAATATTTACTTCCAACAACGATCATCTAAGATCTTTCATTTGTGCATTCAACAAGTATCATTTCTCAAGCCCTGGTTACCTAGCAGACACCACACTAAGTACTGAGATTCGGTGGAGAACACTCTCTGAGGTCATTTACGGGCCTGAATACAAAGAACACCAACTCCTGTCTACAAGTTCATGGCTAAGAAACAACAACTCTCCCAGAATCACAACTTCAGGTGGCCCCAAATGCAAATGCAGAAACTCAGTTTACAACCATAGATTCTCTGTTCTATCGAACGTCTGGTGTCCACAGACAGCTGTTCTTAACCATAGCACCTGCAGTGGCCTAACCTGTTCCAAGCAGGATAGGATTGTCACCAGCACCCGAAGTCTATGGTGACAGACTGTCCATGGCAATGCTTACAAGCTCAGATCCTAGAGCTAGTCCACCCAGTTTCTAAATGCTCTGCTATTTATCAACCATGGAACCCAACCAAAGCTCTCTGGGTCTCCATTTCTCATGCACAATCATAATCATAACTAGAATCCTGGTCCCATTCAGGTGCCTGAGGATCAACAGAAAATAAGGCATGCAAACGGCTGTCCACAAAAACTAGTTGTAGCAGCTCCTGCACGGAGAGTAACTCTGGCGGCTGCCCCCTCTTTGAAGTGGGTACTGTCATTGCAGTGTCCTACTGGAAGCCATCCTTGCAACACAGATGTGTTTCTGAATGTACAAGTCATCATCAAGTCTCCTTACTGCAGAGTGGCTCAGCAGAATCATAATAGAAACTAGAAGAGGAATAAATGTCCAGGAACACTGGGGGCTTTGAGGTCAAAAGGCCACACTGCCCCGTGGCACTGGGATGTCATTTCTGCACACAGTAGCTAGGCGTGTCTTAGGTTGCTGCCTGTTGGAGAGCAGATGAGTATTTTGTGGTCATCTGCATGACAGTTACTAATTATGTCAGGCTTTAGAATTATGGGGGTATGGAAGAAAGGGGGTGTCCCCCCCCCAAGAAGTAAAATGAACTAGAAGTGTTAGAAGTAAGGCCAATGTTACAGGAAAACCCACCACTCAGTGGCTGCACACGTTGGGGTGGGGCACGTGTTCAAATCCTGAGCAACCCCAGGACCCAACTACAGCAGCCAAACAAATCTGGAGCATTCAATATTCCCAAACTCAAACACACACACACTTTTCTGTGGGTTGCTTTGGTGTGCCAGGGATAGTGGGGGTTCAGAGAGAAGGAGAGTAAGTTAAATTAACTTATGCATAATTAAAAACATTCATTTTTATATTAACCCAAGTACAGTGATGTTATGGAATTAATGAAAAAAAAAAAAAAGGAAGACAAACCGCACAAACTTTTAAAATACAGCCCAAGATTAGAGGCATGCGGAGCCTTCAGAGACCACTCTGTAGCCCCTGCCCTGCACCCTAGAGGAGGCTGCTGTCTTTTTAGTAAGGAGATCTTCAAGGGGAAGCCCGCCAAGCACCAGCGTGGTAGAAGCAGACGTTGGAAGACCTGGGCTGAGGCTGGAGGGCTCTAATGTCTATGTGGTCATCTTGAGCAACTGATCTTGAGCTTGCTCATCTGGAAAATGGGATGTTCCTCATAGAATCAACACCGGAGTTAATGAAGAGCTCAAAAGAAATACTGTATGAGGAAGTGCTGTAAAATACTCAGTAAGAGGGGCTGGTGCTGTGGCATAGCAGGTAAAGCTGCTGCCTGCAGTGCCAGCATCCCATATGGTCACTGGTTCATGTCCTAGCTGTTCCACTTCCAATCCAGCTCCCTGCTAATGGCCTGAGAAAGCAGCGGAAGATAGCCCAAGCACTTGGGCCCCTGCTCCCTCCCATGTGGGAGACCTGAAAGAAGCACCTGGCTTCTGGCTTTGGCCTGGCCCAGCCTTGGCTAAAGGGACCATCTGGGGAATGAACCAGCAAATGGAAGATCTCTCTCTGTTTTTCCTTCTCTCTAACTTTATCAAATAAATACATCGATAAATAAATCTTTTTAAAAAAATACTCACTAGGATTACTAGAGAGGTGAGTACCCAAATCAGCTGCGGACACATTTATGGGCTGCAAGCTACAGTTGCCAAAGCGGATCCAAAGTTGGTGACAAGGCACAAAAAGTAATGGCCCAGTGTGCAAACAGCTGAAGACACTCTCCTTGCATGAGCCTCTCACAAATTCATCTTGGAAAAGCTGAAGAGGAGACTGAGCCAATGGGAGACAAGGCCAGAACCAGGAGGTGGGAACACAACCCAGTGGGCTCTGTCACTTTTCTGCCCATGGTTGATCGGAGATGGAAAACACGAGAGAGCCAGCAAGCAGAGGGAGAAGCAGGCACATCCAGCCACTTGTGCCTGGCTGCCTGTGGACTACAGCTAACATCAGCGCGTCTGCTCCGAAGGAAACTACTGAGCCCCCGTCTAGTGTTCCAAGCCCAGTCCTGGTGTGGGCACCTAGAGTTCAGCATGTCTTTCAAACACACATGCAAGACCTGGAAATAAAATGCAGAACAAACGCAATCCAATGACATCATTCTTCTGAGTGACAACCCGGGGCACACCGATCCCATGACCCCATTACATGGGGTTGCAACCTGCTATTGTCCTTTTAGCAGCACCAGCACAGAGCTGTTGCTGACACTCGGGAAGCCATCAAACAAATATTTGTTGAATTATGTATCTTATCTCCCTAGTCAATAGGTTAGAAAATTGTCAGCTTTTGCATTCAAACTACCATCTTTTCTTTCATTCAAACTGCTCTTGAAATTCAATTCCATTAAGGCGTTTTAATGCACACTAACAGCAAGGAATTTACTTAAATAAAAAAAAAAAAACTGCAGAACTCCGAGCTCCCACCTGTGCAGCCATGACATGCTATTGTTTGAACCAGAGTATATTATTTAACTTGGATGGCAAACTCAGGGAGTAGAGACCCTCTCGTTCAGAACACACGTCTCCAAGCACACTGGGAGCTCTCTATAAATAACACTGGCCAGAACGCTGCAGAAGGACACATTTTAATTATTTATTTCTCCAATTCCAGATTCGGGGCACCTCTTGCCCAGCAGCTCCAGTGACGCTGGATCGACAGCGCTGCGACCTGTCCTGCCCCGGCACAAGCAGGAACAGCTTATGGAGCCAAACCCGGGATTCTGGGCGCATGCAAATTGCCTGCTGGGTTTGGAAGGGAACTAAGTCCTCCAGGCCCCCATAGGTGGATGCAGAGGAGCAGGACAGAGGAAGATTTTGGCTCCACACATCAACACAGCTGGCAGATGGTACAGCTTGGACTTCCATCCTTACTACCTGCTGAGGGCCTCTGCGCTGTCTTGTCACCTACCCCAGAGGCGGAGTGTGCCTAGGGCACATGGGGAGGGGTACTTTCAAGTCTTTCAACAGAGAGGTAGAAGGCAATGACTTTGCCAAACTGGAACCATGAGATTAGAAAGAGCTAATAAAGACAGACATTATACACGTATGGCAGGACCAAGTCATTTAGAGGCAGCATGTGTGACTTGTGCGTTTCTGAAAACTACAGCAGCAGTGAAATGACGGTGCTCCGTGTGTGTCCCAGCCCACGGCAGACAGGCAAAGGGGGGCGGAAGTCGCTGACCATGCCAAAGAGCCTTGCCAAAGCCCTCGCTGCCTCTCTTTCTCCCAGGATGTCAGGCAGGGTATTTGCTCAGACTGTGCTTTCCAGAAAAAGGAGTGGTAGGGCTGGGGTGCCTTTCTACACACACACACACACACACACACACACATACATGTAACCTGGAGCCAACACTGCCCTGGACCCTAGGAGTGCACAACAAATGGACCAATAACACATCTTCCCGGCCGCGAGTTCGCCCCTTCCTTTCCGACTCGTTCTACACCAAAACAATGGCAACACCTGTAGCCATTCATTTCTGCTCTTTGATTTCCGTCCACTTATAAAGGAAGCTCTCAGCGGGCTCCTCTCTCAGGAGCCATATGTGGAGTTAGCGTGCCAGCAGCCTCAGAAGAGCAAGGGCCTCGGGAGAAGTGCACAATGGCTCCATAAGCCCCATCAACCGGACCCTCTTGAACTGCCGCTTTATTTTCCAGTCGAAGAAATGCCAAGCTCAAGATTCAAGCTGCGGCTGCCCTGGGAGAATCCTGGGTTGCCTGGCTGCTTCAGGCACAGCCCCAGGGTGGTGCCTCTGCGCCCCGCTACCGAGCCCAGAAACTGCCTTGTGGTACCCCAACACTTTCCCTTGCCCCCTCCCCACCCCCGCCCTCCCGGGTGAGGCTTTCACCCACAAAGGCGACTCCTGCGCCTTCCAGCGCTGGGGACCACAGCGCGAGCGGCAACCGAGCCGCAACCCCGCCCCCTGGCTGCGGGGTGGGTGGGCGGGGGTCTGGGAGCAGCCTCCCAACTCTTCCCCCCCAAACACACACCACCTGTGTGGCCGGCGGGAGGAGTTGGGGGGGGCACAAAGGCTGGGGTGTGGCAGCGAGCCCTGAGGTTCAATGGCTTCTCTGCCAGGGCTCAGTATAGCCCACCTTGCCCGCTGAGACCCCAGAAGGGGCAGCCGGGAGCCTGGAGAGCCCAGAGGGGCTTCGGAGGGTGGAGGTGGAGGGTGACTCGGCCCCAACGGATCCTCCACGTTTGGACGGATAAAGATGGGATGCAGCCACTGGAGTTTTGAGCCCAACTCCAACCCTCCCTCCCTCCCCAGCCCCCTCTTTTGTGCACGCTCCCTTTGGGGCGTCGGGCCGCGCGCATCAGAGCGGAGCCGTCCGGGAACCCCCAAGGCGGCGCAGCGGGCGGGGTGAACCTGAGCCTGGCAAACGGCTAGCGGGTCTTCCCGCAGCCCACCCCCACGCTGCCGGGACTTACGCAGTTGTGCTCGCTCGTCTGGAAGTCCCAGCTGCAGCTCTTGGCGCGCGCCTGGATCTCACTCATCCTGAAGAGGCAGAGCGCCGTGGTGGCGGGGGAGCGCCTCTCCTGGCCCTCTCCGGTGGCCGCGCTGAACACGCCCGCCCAGACGTCCAGGGCCTCCACCAGGCTGGAGGAGAGGAGCAGGCGGCGGCCGTCGGGGTGGCCGTGGCCGCAGTCGAGGGCCGCCTGGCCCTGGAACTGCACCTCGGCGCTCTGCGCGATGCGCGCCATGCTGGGCCAGCCGGTGGCCGCGCCGCTCGTGTAGTTGTAGGGGTAGTAGGGGAAGTAGACGCTGCCGTTCCACAGAAAGGCGTCCACGAAGTGCAGGCTGCCCGCGCCCTCGCGCAGCTTCAGGCGGCCCAGCTCCTCTGTGGCCAGGCTGCGCCCCTCCGTGTCCTTGAGCGCGATGGCCGTGTCGCGGTCGGACGCCGCAGGGTTGCAGCGGCTCGCGGTCTCGGGCTCGGGCAGGACGTAGGTGGCGGCCACCGCCAGGTACCAGCGGTTCCTGTGGCCCGCGCGATACACCACGCCGGCCGTCGAGCCCTGCGGGTGACACGACACCACCTCGGTGCCGTTGCGCAGCGAGCTGCGGCTCAGGTTGCCCAGGGGCCGCACCTCGCAGGCGCCGCGGTCGAAGGTCCAGCCGGTGAGCAGCAGCCCCCCGGGGCCCGCCGCCCCCTCGCGGTAGGGCAGCAGCAGCTTGCTGAAGCTGCTCCCGGGCCGGGGCCGCGCGGGGGGCGCCAGCGGGACGGGCTCCGTGCAGTTGCCCGCCTGGTCCCGGTACAGGCGCGAGAGCCGGTGCTGCAGGCTGTAGTCCAGCTGGTCCAGGCAGCTGCCGCTCGCCACGAACACGCCGTCCGCCCTGCTCGCCGCGATGGCTCCGATGGCTTGCTCGGAGCGCCACACGGGCTCGCCCGCGCCCCGGGCGGGCGCCGCCGCCGCCAGCGCCAGCAGATAGGCGAGCAGGGGCAGCGACGCGGCGGGGCGCGGGGGGCGCGGCGGTGGCGGCGGCGGCGGCAGCAGCGGCGCCTTCCTCCGGGAGACCTCCATGGGGCTGCGGGGGCCGCCCCCGGGCAGGGCGCGCGGCGGAGACGGCGGCGGCTCAGGCGCGCGGAGACCGAGACGCAGGCGGCGGCGGCGGCGGCTCTTGCGCGCGCTCCGGCTCCCGCGGCCGCCCCATCCCCGCGGCTCGCCGGGGAAGGAGAGCGGGCAGGGCGGCGCGCGGCGGGCTCGCTCCGGCAGCCTGTGCGGCGGCGGCGGCGGCGGCGGCGGCAAGCCCTGCGCGCTCCAGCGCCGCTTCCTCCTCGCCCTCCTTCGCGGGAGAGTTCCTCTGTGCAGCGCCGGCGCTCGCGGGGAGGCGCGGAGGGGAAAGGGAGGGGACGCGCGGAGGGGAGCGCGGCGGGCGGGGAGGGCTGGAGAGGTTGGGTGCGCTTGTGCGTTTCACTTTCCCATTGTGAAAGTGGGATGCAACTAGCCCCTTCCTCATCCTCTTCCTCCTCCGCCCTCCGCCTCCCGCGCGCCCGCCCGCCCGCCCTCCCTCCACGCCCATCTCCCCTCCCCGCTTGATTCGGTGCGATCGGGAGGAGGGAGGTCTCGTAATTTGGGTTACTGTGTAGGTGGCCTCTTTCATCTGTGCCTAACAAAGCTGAGCCGCCTGCCGCGGCCGCCGCGGCCGCCACCATCGCCCCTTGGCTCGCCCGGGGCTCCCGGGGCGCGCTGGCGGCGCACCGAGCGGGCTCCCGCGCTCGGCTGCCCGCGGGGCTGCTCCAACGCCCGGGTTTTGTTGATGACAGTTGCGGGGGAGCGGGGTTGGTGTGGGGGGGGGGGGGTTGAAAGGGAAGCGCGGACCTAGGAGTGTGGAGGGGTGGCAGCGGAGGCCCGGGGCTTCGGCCATGCGGAGGCTGCGGGGGTGGCTGACAGGTGTGCAACGGCGGGAGGGAAGCTCCAGGGAGGCGCGCAGGAGACGCGGCCCGGCTGCAGGCTCCGGGAGCCGAGGCGCCCCCGTGGCCGGCGGTGGCTCGCCACGGGTCAGAGGCGCGAGGTGAGGAAGAGGCAGGCGCAGCACGCTCGTTCTGGGTGATCCCTGAGGCCAGAGCGCCCATCTTTGCAAAGGTCCTGTCATCTCCCTAGGCAACAGGGCCCAGACGCGCAAACCCTGCGCTGAGAAAGTTCTGCTCCTCAGCTAACCTTAGGGATCGGAGCTGCCCCTTTAGTGAACACTTACTAGGTGCCAGGTGCTGTTCTCAGTTCACCGCACCGATTAAAACTCATTTAAGACTCATAGCGACCGTATTATTTAGGAGCTGTTATTGGCAGCTCTACGCAGCAGTCAAGAACTATGATGGCGAGGCTGTGGAACATGCTGGTGGATAGGCAACAGCCAAGATCTGAATCCTGCCTGAGCACCGGGCCTCTTGGGCATGAGGCTGGAGTCAAGTGCCACCTGTAGCCATCACACTGCTCCTCAGAGATCTTTCTCAGCTCTGCACTGCAAAGTTCCCCAAGTCCAAGGCTCCCACCTGCCCAGCCCAGCCTTGCAATCCCAGAGCCAGGTACCCCTACTTCCCCGTAAGCTTTCCTGCCTCTCCTCACTTCCCGCTTCTTTCCTCTGGAGCCCATCACCCCTCATCTCTGCAGGCTTGTCCCCAAAGCCACCGAGAGTTTCCAGAGCACAGTGAACCACTGCCCACTGGGGGAGTGGTTTCTGAGAAGGGGCCTTCCTAGGGAGCCCACAAAGACCTCCCAGGGCCAGGAGGCTGCTGGTGCCCCTGCCAACAACTTACAGTGTGGCTGGTAGGGCAGGGGGCCTTTGGGAGTCCTCTAGGTCCTGGGGAAACCATCTCTGGCTCCTCTCCGGCTACTTCCAGGCCAGCGGCCCCAGGGAGGGCAGTTGGCTGCTCTCCCCTTATTCCCTCCCTCCAGGGTCCTAGTTGTAGGTTGGATCTGTTTTGGAGCGTGGCGGGAGTCACAGGGTGAGCAGGCTTCTGCTCCCTGCACAAGGAGAAGCCACTGCAGGTTTTAAACTCCTCCAGCTGTGCTTCAAGTTCTCCCCAGAGCTGCGGGATAAGGCAGGCGCTCTAGGAGGCTTAAGGGTGAGTGCGGTCAGGAGGCAGCAAAGCATGCGTCTCAGCCTCCCGATGTGCGGTGAAGGGATCATGTCACTCCAGCAGTGGCTCTCAGACGCTGAATTCCGAGTGGTCATCTTTCTATTCATAAGCTCCTCGTCTGAAATTGGATAACATTATCTTTGCCTGCCAGGAGGCAGCAAATGCTTTCCTGAGAGGTGCAAGGTCTCCCTTTCCGCTGTGCCTCCTCCTGGCTGCAGCGTCAGTGAGGAGAGTGGAGGAAGAGGAGGACAGGCTTGCGGGACCGGGACCGGGACCAGGACCGGGACCAGTACTGGGCAGGCAGGCGTTCACTGGGAGGCCAGGGCAAAACAAATCAGATGTTTGAGCTGCTCCACAATAATCAGGCTCACCCCCATGCCACTCCCTATCTGCCTGGCATGGCTTAGCAATGTTTGCACTGCTGGAAACAGAAGAAGTAGTTTGTAAAAAACCCTCTGCGGGCCCCTGTGCAACCTACGAGGGGGTGTATGCCCTGGCATCATCCGTGAGGGACGAGCATCGCGGGGTGGTTCCTGGCTTCCTGAGCCGGCGTGGCGGCGCTGTTACGTGCTGAGAGGCAACAGTTCAATTGCACTGCAGAGATAGTTTTACTTCACTGGTAACCAAGTCATTTCTCTAAGTCCTAGAGAGTTGGGACAATCAGTCGCAGGCCATCTTGGGAGCTATTTGGATTAAACACACTCTGTGGTGTAGCATTTTGATCATGCCTCAATTCATTGCTGCCTCGTTTTGAAAAAAAAAAAAAGAAGAAGAAAGAAAGAACCTCTTAAACATCCTAGTAGCAAGAAGCCTAAGCGGCTTTGATGGCTCCGGCTTCCTGCCTTTCTACGGAGGCCAGCAGTGCACTCTCTCAGAGCAAGCTGCTTCTTCCTCCCGTTTAATTGTATGCAGGCTCCTACGGTGAAACAAATCAGAATCTGTGCTTACTTTTTGGCATGAAAAATGTAGGCGAGTAGGAAGCATATAAATGCATGCTTTGCCGATTCTGCCCCATTTTGTACCAACGCGTTTGCCCCTTCCCGGTTTTCTCGTGTACTAAAGCTCCACCTGCAGGATGCAAATTCACATTTGAAAAGTGTGAGATCTGGAAACAACTGAAATGAATATTTAGGCTTGCGGGTTCTGTATCTCTTTGATCTCTCTCTTGGACACCGCCGCCGTCTGAGCCGAGGGGCGCCAGTCCCACGGGGGACCAAGCTTCCCACTCCAACCGACCGAGCCCACCCTGTTACGTGTCACAGCCAATTTCAGAAATCCGTATAACCCAAGTGGCTGCAACCCGGAGAGAAGACGACGGTGCCGATTTCTCCTGCAGTCAGAGGCCCGCTACCACGGAAACAGGCAGTCCAGACCGACTGTGAGCTGTTTTATTTGCAACGTGCACGAGACTGGCAGATCTTCACGATGAGGAACTATCAACTCCCTCAGGCACCGAAGACGGTCTGGGTTAACCAGGCCATCCACAATCGGACTCGTGTCTGCTGGACGGTACTTCACAGAGTCAGCGGTTTCCTGCCGAGGCCCCAGACATCAAGCACCGTGCAGTGGACGATTGGTCACAGTCACAAGATGGCTATCACTGATGCTTCATTTTGGGTTTTTTTTTTTATTATTTATTTTTTTTTTTGAGTCCAACAGCGGTCTATAAGGTTGGGCTGGTACAGATCAAGAATCAAAAATCAACTAAAAATATTACTTTATGTGGCCAACAGATTCTGTCTGGGCCTTGTCAACTGCCTGGGTGGAATTTGGGAAAGAGCGCCCCAGCAGGTCAAAGGGTGTCCTGCAGTGTTGCGGCCAGGCCACTGCCCCCTCCACAGCTTTGGCCCCATCTATGCGGTCTGCCACACAGAGGCCTTTCTCAAAGCTCCCAGCCCCTTTCAGGGACTGACAGGAAGGAGAGATGAGCTGGTCTGCTATCTAGTCTGGTGAGGGCTAGATGGCTGAAAGCAGATTAGAGGAAGCGCTGTTTCCCACGTTCCGTGCTGAGCGATGAGGACACAGTTCAGTCCGCGGGAAAAGTCGGGCAGACAGCACCGTCAAGCCATGGCTGCAGGAATCTGCCTCCTCGTCCCGGCCACCAGCACAGCCCCCAACGGCCACTAAGCATTTGTACACTTGGTGGTGGTGCCCTGTGCCTTTGGGTACAGTGATGGAGGTTCAGGGGCATTCCTTCCCTAGGTGGAATTCCCTAGGGGAATTCAAACCCAACAGGCCAGATGTCAGCATCCCACAGCATGGCCGAACCGTTTATGGTCATGCACCAGAAGAGCACACTCGTAGATACGCGACAGACGAGAAAACAAGTCTTTTCTTAAGGTGTGATGACTTCCTTTAATCTGAAGGAGGGCCTTCATTCAGCGTAGGGAGGGATGTGCCAATCCCCATGGGGGACTTGTCAGAGATCTTGAAGAGACCGGAAGCTACCACCTCACCCTGTACTCTCATCATGTAGCCAGTGCCGGAGCTCATCCGAAACATCTACCAAAGCCCTTAGTGGTTAGGAATCTGAGACTGTTTCCAGCTGAAAGCAAAATCTGGTAAATCACCAGCCATCACAGTGTTTCTCTAGACCAGCTGGAGTTCACCCTGTAGGAAGTGTGCAAACTCATCAGTTAATTACCGCTTCGGATTGGGGGACTCTCTGTAACTCGAGCAGTCTCTTGAAAAATCAAACTTTCCCCTGATTTTCATGAGCACCCACTCCTTCCCTGCTCCCGTTTTGCTGGTTGTTCCTTTGGAATAGGGAGGCAGAGGGGCGTGGAGGACCAGACGCGGGATGCTGACCCTGCCTTCACACAGCGGCACTGCCCACCTCTCTGCTCTGCCATCCCATCTCCAAGGTTCCCTGTCAGCCTAATCCTGGGCTCCGAGTCCTCTGATAACTGGCAGCTTGGCATAAACCCATTCCAAGAGAAGAGCTGCCAGAGAGCGGGC